TTTCACAATTATCCAAGAAAATAAGAAACACTACAAGTTGACCTGCAGCTGAAAATTATAACCAATATGCATGTATAAGAGCCAGGTTAATACTGATACATGGTGCTGTTAATAAAACACAAACAGTCATACTAAACTTTATCATTATAAAGCAAAATAATACTAACAGTAAATAAAACAACTGTAACTCCTGAAATCCAATTCTAACAATCCCCCCTTTGACATGATTTAATCATGTTGATCAAACAAGTGAATTATCCTTCTCTGTTATAACAGGAAATGTATCATATACACTTTAATTTAATTTTTGGCCCCCAAGTAACCTTGTGAGGTTTCTCTGCTCTGTGATCTGTTTTGGTTTAGATCTTAGCTGGATTCAAAAGCATCAAGACCAGTTGCAACGCTTCACTACAGCCTCCTTTCTGGATGGAATGTTAACCCACCTGAGGAAAGTGGATGTGCTGAGTTCAGCTGAGGAGATCAAAATCAAGGAAGCAGGCCGGCTGCAGGACCAGATTAACATGTTTCAAACTATAGCCACTGGCAAGGATTCTAAAGGCTCTGATGTCCTCCAGGGTTACATAGAGAGCTCAGATTCTCAGGTGGCCCAGCTCATCATAAACCATGGTAAGGGGCTTGAAAAGGGATTTGATTTCTGTGTTGGTTATTCTTCTAAAGGGTGAAGGAAAAATTGCCATCAAATAGTTTAGGCATCCAGGAGCTCCAGTGATCAAAAGGGTGATGGTTTGATTCCTGAATTTCATTAACAGCATGTCAAAGTATACATGACCAAGACACTGGGCCTCAAGCTGCTCCTTGAGACCCATTAAATACTGTCTTCAGTGTATAATTGCATGTGGGCAGTACATTGGAAAGCACTATGGCCCACTCTTGGGCTAAAAATGTTATGTAAATGCAATCAATTTCCTGCTTCTTATTAATCAAAATAAATAAATACATAAAAATAAACACACTGTCTATCTCTTTTTCTTCAGATAACATGGTGAAGGAGCACCAGGCGGTGCTGTTACAGCGATATGAGCAGTACAAAGACAGAGATTCAGTCAGCTGCCCCAAACTGAATATCTCCTCAAGAACCTTACTTCTGGTCGACGGACTTTCTGACCTCCAGCAAAAGGAACATGACCTGATGCAGGTGGGGGCAACTCGAGGAGGGAAAAGAAATCATCTCAGACAGCTGGGGCTGGCCAAACTTCTGGAGCCCTTGACCCGGGTCAGTTTGCCTCCCAGGGTTTCCCTCACAGTTGGGGTGGCTGGTATAGGTAAGACCACTTGGGTCCGACACTTCATCCGACAGTGGAGCCAAGGAGCTCTTTGTACAGATGTGAGCTTCGTCTTACCTTTTACCTTTTGTGAGCTGAACTCGCTAGAAAAACTTTCAGCTGAGAGGCTGGTGAAAATGGCTTTTCCTCATTTAACAGATCCTAGTCTAGTCTTGAACAGCTCCTGCAGGACACTGCTCATATTTGATGGTTTGGATGAATTCCGCTGCACTTTAAACTTCTCTGAGGCAGCACCCTGCAATGATCCAAAGAAAGAAGTGTCCATTGACGACTTAGTTACTAACATCATCCGAGGGAATCTGCTTCCTGATGTAGCAGTGTGGGTGACTTCCAGGCCAAGAGTAGCCTCGCTCATTCCTGGAGGACTGGTCGACAGGGTGACGGAGATCCCGGGATTCAGCCCGAAGGACATCCAAATCTTCCTGGACCACCACTTCCCAGAGAGGGATTTTGCCAGCAAAATATGGGCACACTTGGAATCCCATAAGATCTTAATGGTGATGTGTTACATTCCATGCATTTGCTGGATGGCAGCTGATACTCTAGTGTACAGCATGCAGAGTGGAAGACAGGAAAGCCTCCCAAAAACTTGTACTGAGCTTTACACCCACTTTTGTTGTATGAAGGCAGAAGTAGGTGAACCAAGAGGCAGGGAGCCTGTGAAAATGGAGCAGCTTCATGGGAGCAATCGTAAATTGCTGGGGAATCTTGGACGATTGGCATTTTATGGGCTCCTCAAACACAAGTACACTTTCAGTGAGCAGGACCTCAGGGCCTATGGGATAGATCTGCTCTTAGCTCAAAGCAGCCTTGGTGCTGGAGTCCTAATCTGCGAAGAGTCGCCCATATTCACAACATATCGATTCACTCATTTGACTCTGCAGGAGTTTCTTGCAGCAACTTTTTACCATGTCTCCGCCAAGCGGGCCATCTTTGACTTGTTCTCAGAAAGCACCATGTCCTGGCCCAAGATTGGTTTTCAGAACCACTTTAGAAGTGCAATTCAGCATTCACAGCAAGCTGAAGATGGCCACCTGGATGTATTTGTGCGCTTCCTGACAGGCCTGCTGTGCCCAGTGGCACAGAAACCTCTCAGTGGGCTTTTGGCCCTCGGAAAAGATGATGGCAATCAGAAGGGCTGGGCAGCAGGATTTTTACAAGGCCTCTTGGTCAGCGGGGGTCCCGTGGTGTCCCTGCGTGCAGTCAACCTGGCTTATTGTTTACAGGAGCTGCAACATACAGAACTGCTGCGAAGTGTAGAGGAGGATTTACGGCTTGGTAGCCTAGCAGGAAAATTAACACGGGCTCACTGTGTTGTGCTGGGCTACCTGCTGCATGTGTCTCCAGAGTGCAGCGAACAGACCAACCTGACAGGCTCTTTGAGCTACACCATAGTGAAATGTTTGCTCCCGCAGCTGCTGTACTGCAGCCATCTCAGGTCAGCTCTCCAAAGCATTGTCTGCCAGTAAACTAAATCTCAGGAGAAAGATTGCTGTGTGAAGGTCATGTTTTATCTGTTCAACAGGTTGGAGAATAATAACTTCAAAGATGATGTCATGGAATTGCTCGGAAGCCTCCTGAGTGCCAAAGACTGTCATATTCAGAAGATAAGGTGAGATAACGCTTACATTTCATCTCCTAAAGAAACATTTGAAGAACATTTTACAGTCTAATTGTACTGAATTAAAGTATGAAATGTACTGTATATGGATTTCAGCGACAGCAAATGCATATATATTTATATGTATATATAATATTTAGTACCATATAATTATAACCTCTTGTATTCACCTCCTCAGTCTGGCAGAGAATGCTATTAGCAACAAAGGTGCCAAAGCTTTGAGTCGAGCCCTTTTGGTGAACCGGACACTAACTTCTCTCAAGTGAGATCTCTTTGGTGACTTTGACATGCATGTATAACTTATTACTACTAAAAAGGGGGACACTCTTGAGGTCAAAACAGGCCATAACCTGTTATTTTTAAATGCTTTTATAGGGAATGAGATGTGAGGTGAGAGCAGGATGTGAAAATGATATGCACTGCAGCTTTAGTTTACTACAGTTTATCTTATATTTGTCTTCCTATTTCACAGGCACTTCCATTACTACATCAAAATTCATTTATGATTTTACATTACTATCATCTAACCATTTATTTCAAATTCAGTCTCCGTAACAACAACATCAGCTCTAAAGGTGCAAAGTTCCTGGCAGAAGCTCTGAAAATGAACCAAGTCCTGGTATCACTCAAGTGAGTGTCACTGCTATAGGCACAAAATGACAGTGTAACACTTTGAGATGGTGTTATTGCTCACTTTCCCTAACCGCTCATCAGCTTCCAGAACAACGCCATTGAGGAAGAAGGTGCTCAGGCCCTTGCAGAAGTACTGCAGTGCAACCGCAAACTGGTGTCTCTGAAGTGAGTTTTGTCTGTTTTCATTTGCATGTCCTATTTATAGTGCACATGTGTCAATGCTTATAGTGTGAACTAATAAGTAGATTTGTATTTAATGCATGTATTTGTTCAGTTTACGAAAGAATAAGATTGGAGCAGGAGGAGCCAAAAGGATTGCAGAGGCGCTGAAGACAAACCGCACTCTCACAGAACTGATGTAATCTTAAATTCATATATTCATTCATTATACTGGTACAGTTTTGCAAACATTTTTACATATTTAGCCCAGTAGATTAATGACTACCAACTGTTCATACTTTTCTATATTCTTTACTTGTTTGTATATTTTGTTTAGCAGTACAATAGCCCACTAATAGAGTCAGTGACTTAACTTTTTTCCTAATGTTCAAATAGTTTTGGTCTTGTTTGCAGTCTTTGTAGTAACCAGCTTGGGGACAGAGGAACAATTGCTCTGGCAGAGGCTTTGCCACACAACCACACTCTGCTCTCACTTCAGTCAGTACCTCTACATACTGTAGGCATGCATTATAGTACCTGTATTAGCCTCCACCTTCCATTCAAAATTCTACTGCTATTGCATTTTAATGTTAAAGTTTATTAGACTTTCAATCATGCTGTAAAATAATGACACAGTTTGCCTTGTAAATGATAAACTACGGTTGTGTTTACTGTAACTTTTTTTTTTTTTTTTGGCAGACTTCAGAGTAACACAATCAGTAACAGAGGGATGACAGCTTTAACAAAAGCACTTAGGCTGAACCATGGCCTTGTCTCCTTGAAGTGAGTATCAAACTTGAAGCTTTTCTTTACTTCACTAAAGAACTTTCCTGCTCTAACTCAAGACTAATGCCATTCAGGACTCGATCTGTCAACAAAATATCTGTAATCAAAGTTTGTGGCATAACACTTTGCATAAAACACCTGGGATCAGTTTGTGGAAAGTACTTTCTCTTGTTCTCTTGACCCAAGTTAGAGGTATAGAGTTAGATGAGAAGATTATAGACTTCTACGTCAGTCTGCTAACTATAGAGATCCTCAGTCCTTAGCTACCCTGTGTTTCGCTAGCTTCTGTAGCTCACTGCAAGCTCTCATTCACCATTTCTGTCATTGATTTTTTTTTTTTCAAAAAAGTCCTGGGAAGGACAAATTGGCATCCACTGCTACAGTGACTGTTACAAGTTGGAGCCTTCATGATTTTAGCAGTTAATCAACATTAATTCACTAGCGTGCAAATAATTTACAAACCATTCCACTAGGAAAACTGCTATGGAATTAACAGTACACTGGGACTTTACTCAGTACATGTTATATGTAAATAAATACTAGTCAAATACAATATGGTACTGTGTACTGAGATTCTTGGGAAAACTGCCATTCCTTATCTCTTTTCCACTTTTGTGTTTTTTTCTGTCTGGTTAGTTTAAGGGAGAACTCAATCGGGGTGGAGGGAGCAAAGAACATGGCCCACGCACTCTATGAGAACAACTCTCTACAGGACCTCGAGTGAGTCACCTCATTAATACAGTAGCTCTGTTTATTATAATGCCCCACAGAGGCATGGAAATATCTGACTGTTCAGTAAATGCCACTCCTGCAGGCTTAGATATGTCACTCAGGGTATGAAATCTGTGACTCTTAGAATACATGTGGTGACACTGACAACTTAACATTCACTACATTAATTGACTCCAGTTTTTATGATAATGTCTACAATAATTAAGCCTTTGACACTCAACTATAACATTGTTTCAGTGAGTATTCTGTCTGCTTTGTGTCTGTTTTTTCTGCTTTTGCCTACTTTTCATTTCATTCATTCCTTTTGATTAATTATCTATTGTGGATGTGTCTTTGTGTGTGTGTGTGTGTGTGTGTGTGTGTGTCCCAGTCTCACAGCCAACCTGCTGCATGATGAAGGGGTTCGAGCTATAGCTGGCGCAATCAAATGTAATCAAGGCCTCACGTCTTTGCAGTAAGTGAGGCTTCTATTGCAAATGCAAGGTCCTGAGAGTAGATCAATTGTCGCCAGCTTCTCTCACTTTGAAAAAGCCCCAAAGACTGTGAAGTACAGTGATATACATTGATACAAGAAAACAACAAATAAGTCAGAGTCCACTCAGTTAGGATCTTGATATGATATTAAAGTAAAAAAATTATAAGGTTTTTGTTAATTTCTGAAATATCTGTAAGAAACCACAGTAACACAGTATATAGAGGATGGCTATTTATTGCAATACACCAAAAATATAATATATAGATGGGTAGTTTATAATAATGTCACATATTTTATACTGTATGTTTTGTATATAAAATCTTGTCTGAAAATGAACTGATAACTACAGTTACCACATAAATGTAGTGGAATAAAAAGTGGGAAATTTACATTTGAAATGTGGAGCAGTAGTGGAAGAAATGTTTCTCACAATAGTACTAGTGGATTGAATGTGTTGTGACCCCTGCAGAAAGCTTAGTATTCCTCTCATAGTTGACCTTGTGTGCCTCTCTCTCTCATTTTAGTCTCCAGTGGAATTTCATCAAGTCTTCTGCCACTAAGGCTCTGGCCCAGGCCCTGCGCTCCAATGCCACAATGCAGCTCCTGGAGTAAGGCACATAGTTCAGACTTCTCCCATTGTCAGCCTCAGTCCTCAGTTCACTCACTTCTGTCCCACACGCTACAGTATTTTTTCTGATGAAAATGATCTCCTCTGAATGTAACACCTGCATTGTGCCATGGAGGTCTGCGTTGAGAGCAAATGACTAACTACAGGATTTAATTGAGAACTTTCAATTATATGGTTTAATTGTTATTTACAACTGTCATTGTGTCTATGTGTGTTTGCAGTCTACAGGAGAATGCTATTGGGAATGAAGGTGTCATTTCTCTTGCTGAAGCCCTGAAAACCAATGCGTCTCTTCGCACATTATGGTTAGCATAAAGCTGGATGCAATATCAATATACACTCATATTAAAGCTATGGTTGACCAAAAATCCTTCTACAGGTGTGACAATCTGTTGTTTTCTACTATTTTCCCAATATGCTCACTGTTCTGTGTGCTGTCTCTTTAGTCTCCAGGGGGTCTCCGCAGGCACAAGTGGTGCCATTGCCATGGCAGAGGCTCTCATGTCCAACCAAACCCTGCAAACACTGGAGTGAGTCCAAAATCATTCTTTTATTTGATATTAGCAATAGACAATATCACAATATATACTTGAATAGATGTGACTTTGTCATTTATCAGATTTTGTTTATACCACGGTAACTATCCCTTTAACAACTCAGTATTAAATAACTCAAGGTAGTATTTCCAATGAATCAGTGTGACTAGGTATTTAATTTGATGAATTAAAAAAAAAAAGCAACATTCTTGTCTGGTTAATTTAATTCAGTTTCTCAGTTCAATTCGTGCTATATATACAGTAGATACTCTTATCCAACCTTAGTCCAACAAAGTAGATTTTATTTTCGGCCCTTATATAAGCTTAACTGAAATTAAAACGCATTTTGATTTCTAGTTAGTTAGACAAGAATTAGGTAGGTAGGTAGGTAGGTAGGTACTTTATTTATCCCTCAATTGGGAAATTTCAGTGTTTCAGTAGCAATGGAGAACAAACAACATAACACCATGAGAAACAAAGACATTAGGCAAAAAAGAGTCAATAAAAGTTGTAGCTGAAAACAAGACAACCTACTAACAGATAAATAAAAAAATTATCATTGCATCATCTTTCAGGTTTTCAAAGAAGAGCAACAAAAGATACCTGCTATCAGAACAAGAGTTGGACTTCAACTCTTTGTGAAACATTTTTATTATGCAACGAGCACAAAGTGGTTCATTCTTGTTACACTAAAAAGAAATGCGATGTATTTAATATTTGCACATTTCTTATTATGTGTTTCAGTCTGCGTGGGAACACTGTAGGGATGGAGGGAGCCAAGGCTCTGGCTAATGCATTGAAAAGCAACAGAAGCCTCAAGTCACTGAAGTAAGGCTGGTTTGAACTTATGATTCTCCCTGTGAATCAAAACTTTTGTCACTGTCTTTTCTCAGGTTGGACGACAATGGCATTTCCAGTGACTGTATGATCTATTTCCCTACTCTGCCATTTTATTTGAAAAGAGATCTAGCAGAGATTGAACCCAAGTGAAAAAAATATTTCTCTTAACTTTTTAGATACCGTGTACCAAGAGATTTATCACTGATCATAAGGCAGAAACTCCCTGCTGGGAGAGTGGAATAGTGCATCTTTAATCTCCCCTTTAGCTGACTAATAATGACTGTTAGCCTGATTAATTGTAAGGTAGCTCATAGTGTACGTGTACCATATGTACTGGATTTCCTGTTTGTTTCTGGGAAAAGGTTCAACTAAATCCAGAACTCTCTGGAATTCTCAGGATTCTCTTTAGTCAGTTATCTCTGGACATTTGACTAAAGGAAAAGGTTATTTGTCTCTGTGTGCATCATCAGCCTGCAGGAGAACTCTCTGGGTATGGATGGAGCCATATTCATCGCCACAGCCTTGAAGGGAAACCACCAGCTGACATACATCAAGTGAGTTTTCCCTTCTACACTTCTCACATAAATATATATACTCTTGCCTCTATACTCTTTATTCTGTGTGTGTGTGTGTGTGTGTGTGTGTGTGTGTGTGTGTGTGTGTGTGTGTGTCTGTCTGTGTCTGTGTTTGCAGGATTTCAGGGATGACTACATGCTGTCGTCCTGCTCATATTAAAAACTTACCTCTGTTTCTGGTTTTCTGCAGTTTGCAGGGAAATGGCATTGGGGAATCTGGAGCAAAAGTCATATCTGATGCTATAAGAGCCAATGCTCCAGGATGTGTAGTGGACATCTGACCAAGGAAAGAACAGCTTTTACTGAAGGTCATATATGTTGCAAATAAATAACATTAGACTATGTTATTATACTGTCAGTAGATGTAAATGATGTAATTTAGTTAAATTTTAGATCTATACTGACACAGAAAATCGCTGTAACAGTCATTCTACTTATTCTATTTTTGGCAAGATATTTTTTTATTTATTATGACAATAAATGATTATATTTGTGTTAAAGAAGCAGTTGCCTTAAGAGATGTTTGAAGGATATGACTATAGAAAACTTAGAGCTGCAGCAATGAAGCTACATCCTTCCTTATTTGTCCTAATTACAATGTCATTCTATACATTTGCTTTATTTGCACAGTTGAATTTGTTGTATAGAAATAAAACAAAGAAAACTAATGTGTGCCATTCATATAGCAGTTTTGCTTCACCTGTTATTTTACAAGGACAAAGATCCACCACAACATGAATCTACAGCCCTGTCAGCGTACTGTGCAGACATTAGAAGATTCACAATGAAAGTGTCATGACCATTTTATTTCATGGGGACCAGACTGATCTCACAACATTTGATCTGCACCAGCTATATGATGTATTCTACTTGCCTATCACCTACGGTACAGCACATATTCTGCTAATTCACAAATAACCAAGTAGAATATACCTTTTTATTTACTCCAGCTCTTCTATACTTTAATCTTAATGGACCTTATTTGAACAAAATTTTGGCTACACAGCTGATTGAAAAAAATCTTAATGTTTGTGTTTGGTATTATGCAAACCTACATTTTGTCATAATGTTGGGGAGATTTAAATTAAATATCATGAAAAGAGGTACTGATAATTCCATGGCAACAAGCATCATTAGGTCTTGCAGCAAAGTAGATGACTTTGTGACCTATGTATACTGTCTTTGCTTGAGTTTTGCTGTTGAGAAAGCTACAGATAAAGAATTCAGGTCTTTACCAGAGTAGATACCACATATTCAGCAAAAATGGTAGCTTCAATAATCAAGCAAGACTGTACCTAACATTTATTTTCTTTCTTCATGCCTGGCAGTGGATTTGATGCACATACTCCATGGTCCTATATAGGCTATTCAAACACTTGAATGGACACTGACATCCATATAAAACAGCCTTTTAATAAGAATGCTAATGTTGTAGCCTACTCATTCAGGCCTTCATGTCTTTATTTAGGCTTTGTTAAAGATGGAATTGTGCACTCTAACAATATAAAATGAGGCGATTCAGGGAGATGTCAAGAAAACATGTCAAAAAATTTCTGGACACATATAAACATCCACAAACTTATTTCAATTTAAATGTACTTAGTTATTTCCACCACTGCAAATTAATATATCAACAGAAAGTCAAACATAGGCCACTTTAAAAAGTTACAATTTTCTAACTCTATCGTTAAGCTAGGCCACACCAGATCTATATGCGGAGTTATTTACAAAATATCTATTCTTGGGTAAGACAGTACAGTAGCCTATCATTTCTGTTTTGATTCTGCTGCATGAACTGCATTACCCAGAATTCCAGGAAAGGAAACGTACTGACGTCGAGAGTGCGGCGCTGTCGTTGGCAACAGCGGTGGCTGGAGCGGGAAGGATAGAAGTGTTACTGCTACGCTTGGTCTCAGATCAAAACCATTGTTTACTTGGGACCGGGGTTATGTGGAAAGCGCTTCGAATCTCATAATGATATTAAATAAAACGCTTTAATTGTTTTAATTACTGGGGGCGGAGAGGGAGCGTCCCTCGTTATTAAATGGTCTGTTTGCTAGCTAACATCTGCAAATATGTACTAAATTACCCAGTCTAGTTGGAACAAGTTGCAGCAAGAGTGAGACATCAACAAGTGGATTTCCAATTTTCGAAATTCGCTATCAATGGCTTCCAAAGGTAAAATAAAGTTTAGAATTTTAACTGAAGCCGCTAGGTATGGATAATATTACAGCACATAACATTACAAAAGCAAAGACTTGCGTTAGAAACCACAACTTGAAACAGCACTTATCATTAGGTTAATGCAGTTAACTTTAAGGTCACTTAACTTATCTCAGCGTCTCACTGTTACATGAATTTGTTTTGATTTTTCAGGTTGGCAGCATCCTTATGTCAACATATTCAAGCACGTCAAAGTAGAAGCCTGGAAAAGGTCGGCAAAAGAGGGGGATGTGTCAGCATACACGGTAACTCCAATTGTGGTTTTATAGTTAACAGTGTACTTGACCCACAAACTGTCCTTAAAAAGTTCACATACCCAAGTAGGCCCCAGAAGTCAAAAGTGGTTCTTGTTGATTGTTTTTTTACCATAAGATTTTCTTAAGGCAACATGACAACTGTGCTTTAACTGCATGTAAACTAACTCGATTCCACTAGTGAACCGTTTCTACCAATGTAAGAAGTATCAAAACCTTCACAGAAACTTTTCAGAACAACCCTCTAGCATAAACCTCGTAAATCCCCTCCATTTGCATGCCCAAACACTTATTTTGTCCAAATAAACAACTTTGTCTCGGTCCTTCCCAACTTTCAAGTCTTCACAGGGTTTGTCAAAAGCTTGATTTTGGATGAAGTATCACATTTTATTGAGTATTCCTACCAAAGCTTATTCTCCACTCTCACGAAACCTTCCAGGACAAGACGCTGAAGTGTTCAGTGTTCCGGATCAAGGGTCCCGTTCCTGCCAACAGCTACATCCTGATACCCAGAAACAGCAACCAGTCTCTGGGGCTGACAGGGCGCTACTTCTATCTTCTCTTCAGGCCCACCCCTGGCAAATACTTTGTGGTTCACCTGGATGTTGCTGCAGAGGTATCAGACCTGATTTTATTGCATGATCCTGCATGGTTGTGTATGTGATGAAATCAAGTGTTATGGTACATATATGGCATCTAAATGACCCATGAGCTACTGTAACGTGTCCTTGTTTTTGGTCATGTGACTGGAGTTTATTTTGAAGTCCATCAAGAGACAAATCCACTGCTCTGCCTTATTAGCTTTCTTGTATTGGCATTTCAGTCTAATTAACTTCTAAATTGGAAAGCAAGCACTCTACATATTCTCACATTAAATAACATCTAATCTTGTGAACATTTTATTTGACTTCCTGTATTCACATGTTTTGGATTTCTTTTTTCAGATTTATGTGGGTAAATCCAATTGATTTAGCACAGATTCAGCCTGTCATGCTATATCACTATGTCCTTTGATATCAGTGGTGGAAAGTAACTAAGTGCATCTATTCAAGTGCTGTACTTAAGTACAATTTTGAGGTATCTCTACTTGAGTTGCTTCATTTACTGTTACTTCATTACATTTTAGAGGCAAATATTGTACTTTTTACTCCACTGCATTTATTTTATAACTTTAGTTATTAGTTACTTTTCAAAGCCAGATTAATAAAAAATACAGTATAATTATAAGACCTCATTGATCTATGGTGGGAAATTCACAAGCTACCCAGCAGTAATTCAAATTATATGCATATAAGCTGGTTAAAACTAGCTCCCCCTTTACCAGCTGCCACATTAAATATGATGTACACAATAATGCATTATTAATTGTAATACAATGATATGATATACAGAAATATGAAATGCATCATTCTATGTAATAAGTGTGTTTACTTTTACTGTAAGTATGTGTCAGCCCTGTGATAGACTGGCAAACTTTCCAGGGTGTACCCCGCCTCTCGCCCAGTGTCAGCTGGGATTGGCTCCAGCCTTCCTGCAACCCTTGTTAGGATAAGCAGTATAGATAATGGCTGGATGGACTTTAAGTACATTTTGATGCTAATACTTTGTACTTTTACTTAAGTGACATTTTGAATGCAGAACTTTTACTTGTAACAGGATTTTTACACTGTTGTATTGCTGCTTTTTACTAAGCAATGGATCTGAGTTCTTCTTCCACCACTGTTTGATAAACCTAGACAGTGTCAGTCTCTTAGTCCTATGGAATGGGCAATTTTACAACTGTGATGACTGAGTGATGGAAATTTATGAAAAATGGATGACATTTTCTTTCCCACTTTTTGTACTGTGATGTGTAGGAGGGCCAGGTGATCCGGATCTCCTTTTCCAACATGTTCAAAGAGTTCAAGTCCACAGCTACCTGGCTCCAGTTTCCTTTTCTGTGTGGAGCTGCAAAGGATTCAGTCTATGAAAGGACAGCCAAATCTGCAACGCATGGTAAAACACATGCACACACGCCACTATATATACGTATGTAGTCTTGAGTCCTATGCATTTGTTTTTCTGAGAGCCCACTTTGCTTTTGTTCTGTATATAATATAAATAATTGGGCATCTTGCTACTGTACTGGCAGTGTTTGTTTTTGTGGCCTAGGTTTGGTGGGTTCAGCTCCCACTTCAGTGCGTTGGACTTGTCTGATGCTGGATCTTCAGTACACACTCTCCGTCTACCTCAGCCGCTGCTACAGTTACCTGAAGAGCATAAAGCTTTGTTCCAACATGGCAGTGAAGAACATGTTCACCAGTGACCTGCTGCTAGATCCAGGTGAGAAATCACTTAAAATCCTTTAGGCGGAAAATATTTTCTTCACATATCTGTTGTTCAGTGTCACATTCAATCAATGTGCAACCTCAGATTTCTGAATCAACAGGAGTGTTTTCTCTATCAACAGGAGTTTCCTTCAGTGAAGCCAAGCTAATGGGTCTGGCGTCTTCTCAGGGAACAGGTCCCATGCCCAGAGAAATGTCATTCCCTGTGCCTAAGGGAGGCTCCTGGCATGACCTCTATGACTACATCAGGTATAGTTAATTCACCCAGGGCCAGAAAGTATGCTTCACTGGCATTGCGTTAAAGGAAAAATCCGCTTTGAATCACCTTTCTGTACATGAAATGTGGGGTTTTGATGTAAAGTGCTCATGATCAGCCTATTATCTGAGTTACCTGTTTTGTACTGTACCAACATATAGCTCTATCATACAGGAAGACATCCAAGTGGAAAGTCATTCTGGACTTTATAATAAATCACTAGGGGTGCCAACGTGGGTACACCAAAAAATAGAAACTATGACTTTCACAAAATACTGCTATAAACCTCTGACTTGTGGACATGTAACTGTAGAAGAGTGTATAAAATGTTTATTTTGGCTTTCAGTATTACAGAGACAATACCAGCAGTTATATGTGACTATCAAAACTTTTTTTTGCTCTAAACAGCAGTGGCGAAAAACGAGGTCTATAGTGTATATAATCACTAATTTAAGAAAATGAATGTACCTGTATTACAGTCTATTGCTATGGAGTCCCTTATCTTGTCCTACATCGACAGGTTTCCCTCAGAAGGAACGAAGTTACCCTTTGACTCCATTCAAAAGCGCAGTCCCACACCTGAGGCTGGTAAGTCATCAAATACTACACTGCTCACCATTCCCATCATATTTCTTTAGAATTTTGTCAAAAGATGTAAAAAGTTCCTGCAGGCTTTTTAAAGAAATTCCAGTTAATTCTTATTTTGCTCTGCAGTACACACAAATTATGCTGTATTCCACTCTTTTTTGTTTAAATATATTTTACTACTTATTCATCCCAATAAATTAGAGCCATTGTAGGATAAATGTTTTTTGAGTACACACTTCTAGATAATCCCAATAGGAATGTATTGTGGATGATTGACTTCCTTATGGTCATTCCCAGGATGTGTCTCCAGCCAAAGAAGCCCCATGAGAGAGTCTCACTGTGTCAACCTCAGCAAACCAGTTCAGGACCGTGTGTCTCTTATCCAGCAGATCACCACCCCAAAATTAGTGAGCCTGAAAACATGCTGTGTTTTCCTCAGCTTGATTTTTTTTTCTGTAAATATGGCTGAGCTTGTGCCTTTTTGTTGAAAGTGAGTTGTATATGAAGCTGTTTTTATTTTTCCCGTTTTCTCCTTCTGTTTTCTAAGCTCCCGAGAAATCGGACCCCGTCGGTGACCGACATACCTGAGCTGGGTGTGGTCTCCACTCACCAGAAGGATGACTGGCTTTGCCATAAATATGACCAACAGCAGCTGGAGTCAGCGTCCTCCAGCTCACAGCAACTCACATCCAGGCCACATTGCGATTCTGATGACGGTGGAGTTCATGTGTTTGTTCATCATGAGGAAAGTTTCAATAAACATGGAGAAGATGGCGAAAAAGAGGTGCGGCTTCATACAGATTATTGTGTACATTCACCCAAAATTAAAAGCAGTAGAAAAGCCTCATGTTCAGTTCAAGGCAGGTCCTTGATTACATAGTTCCTTTTGTTCACTGTTGTGGCAGCAATGAAAATACTGTTGCTCTTGTTTTATCTCCAGTTTGTTTTCAGTCCTGTTCCACACCCTGTCCATCTATCATCATCCAAAAAAACTAAGGTAAGAGATGAGGACAGTGCAGTGTGAAATGAAAACAGATGTTGTGACCTCATTTGTCTAAGAGCTCACTGCAAAATGTTGCTCTGCTTTTTCTGCTCTCATAATTAGAAGCTGCTTCCAGACCCAATTATCAGGCTCAATCGAATCATCGGCTTTGGAGGAGCCACTACTAAATATGTATGCTCATTTAGAATTAAACCATTGTCAGGCTGACTTCATATATAGTGCATTGTAGTTTTCAAGGTCATAAATAAAAAATAAAAACAGTTGTGCTTTATTAAACTGTAGGCTCTGTGGACCAAATCCGGTGATGCAGTGGTGTATCCATGTCATGCAATTATTGTATCCATGAATATATCCTCTAACCAGCAGAGATTCTTCATTGGCCACACTGATAAGGTAGGTGAGCTGCAACGTGTTGTGCTATATTACATCAGCAGCAGAATCTCTTCCCATATGTAGGATGGAACAGTGGATTCCAGCAGCATGCTAAGCAAAGTGAAGAGAATTTTCTTGTGTGTTCATTATAGAAACTAAATTTTTGCAGCATTTCCACGTTTTCATTGTAGGTGTCTGCCCTGGCTTTTAATGGCAACACAACAATGCTGGCCTCAGCACAAACTGGCAACCATAGTGTAGTTCGAGTATGGAACTACTACAAAGGAAACTGTCTGGCCATGTTTAGGATTCACGCTCATTCATTATCCTCTCTTAGGTAACTGACTGCATGTACACACACACACACTCATACACAGCTTATTTTACATTGCTTACTCACACTAATTTTGTCTTTTTTGTTCATCTCTTCCCATTTGGAAGCTTCTCACATGGCGGAGCTGTTCTCTGTGGAGTGGGTAAAGATAGACGCAATAAAACAGTAAGTGAATGTAGGGTTCTAATGGTTTCACCGTATTACAGTATATAATTATCAAAATACATTATTTGCTAATTTATTGTAGGTGTGCGTCAGTGAAGCCAGAGTGGTCCTGTCTGTACCTTCACTCACGCATGCACACACACTCATTTATTAAAAACGTGGTTTCATGTAGTGCCCCCGCAGTGGTTGTGGTTAGGAGAATGTTATGGGAAACGCATGATTGATGGGGAAACAGATTTTGACACAACACCGGTAATAAGCAAATGTGCATGCTATGATAACCATCAATTTTCCTACCAACCCCGAGTGAATGCAGATTTTCCCACATGACAAAACATTTCTCATTTGTGCACAAGTTGCACACAGAATCTGCAGAGAGTCCCACCGGTATTAAATCCACATGAAACACTCCCAAGCAACACCTTATACTGTATCATTACTTTGACTGTCTCATTATGTTTTAAATGACCTGCTAAAATTGATCCTCTTATTACAGTGTATGACTCAGCAAAGCTGTGAGCTGACTGCCTCTGTTTGTCATCCTAATCTTTCATAGCTGGTGGTGGTGTGGAACACTCTGAACGTTAGTAAAGGTGGAGAGGTGACAATATTAGCCAAAGCGCATACAGATGTGGACATTCACACATTGAAGATTGCCTTCTTTGATGATACAAGGTACCCTCCCTTCTTTGTATTGGTGTTTTTGTTGTCTGTTTAATTATATTTTCAGCCAACAGTGTGTTAGGTTATTTTTTAGTTAGATAGATATTCAGAGATTTGTTGTCTAGGACTGTTAGTGCAGCCAGGATGTCTTCCTCAGGCTGTTAAATGCAAGGTTAGTTAAAATCAGAGAAAGGCTGAAGTCAGGGACGAATGTTATTATGACGGTAAAAGTAACCATAATATTTGTCTTAATGTGTAATGTTATGTCAAATTGTTTTAGATACACACCATGAAAACAACAGCCACACACATTATTTTCTTCATGTTTTGTCTACTGCTCTGCTCAGCTGCCAAGCTGGCATATCAGGTGACGTCACGGTTCGACAGCCCAGAAATGATTAATATTGTATAGCAATGCTTGGTTCGGGGTCTTCCTGTTTCCGGGCTGCTTTTGGCAGGCTGGGGGTTGGAAGATCTCTGGACTTGAAGTGTAAATTCTTGCCTGTGACTTTTTGAATAAACCAGCACGGATAAATTTTTTATATACTCAAGTGGTCTGAGTCGTCCCTCTGAGTTCCTGGTTTGAAAGAACCGGATGAGGCTTTATAATGGTTTTCAGCCTTTAGTGCATATTTGGGAATGTTTTTGCCCTTCTATCTGTTGAACTAGTAAATGTTGACGACACTCATCCATCTGCTCCCACAGTGCTCAGGGGTCTCTCAGGACAGATCAGCTAGACCTCTGGCATTCACAAAACTTATGATCCCTTAATGTTCTTGGTAGACAGCAAGCAAATGAATCTTCAGCATCAAGCACAGGCACAGTTCAGGCAGAGCTACAGTACGTACTGTAGCTTTAATTCAGGTGCAGGCAAAGCCATACTGCACATAGGGGAATATTTAAACCTGTCACAAATTACTGTCAGGTGCACAAAACTACTAAGGCACCACAATTTTTTAGCAGTGTTTTACCAACATTGATGATGTAACTGAGCACATTCACGACTGTGAATACATGGCTGCTTCTAAGCACCTGGTGCCTGAAGTGCGCACAAGTTGATTGAGAGGGAGAGTAGCAGAAAGTGTAAGTTTACTGTGGCTGAACTAATATGGTTGAAGAAATCAACAAACATATTTTGGAGCTCCAATCACGTAGTCTTTACAAGTCAAATCATCTTTTATTTCATTCAATAGTTGGAGAATGCTTTGACCTGAAAGCTCTCATTGTGTTGGGACCTAGGTGTTTTATGTCTGGTGCATAAGGAGGCATCCTGTAATGGTCCACTGTAACACTCACCTCCTGTGTCTTGTACTCTTACTGCAGGAAAGTGTAGAAAGCCTTGGTTGAGAGCAGAAAAGGTGACCGAGCTGCTGCAGCAGCCAGAGCCTGACATGTCAGCCTCATGCTGACATGGCTGTAAATTAGTACTCGGAGATTGTGGTTGATTCTGTGACTGTGCTGGTTTCAGGATGGTGTCATGTGGCCGTGACAATATTCGTCTGTGGCGAGTGCGTAATGGGACGCTGCGCTCCTGTCCAGTAAATCTGGGTGAATACCACTCAGTTGACTTCACTGATGTGGCCTTTGAGGAGGGAAGGCCATCCAACCAGCATCTTGATGATCGAACACTGTGAGTGAGCAAACAAGTCACTGAAACCATCCCAGTATGTATATGATCTAAAGACTAAAAACGTTATTAAAAGACTGCGGTTTCCCTCTTTAACTGTCCTCCCATAGATATGCTAGCAGTCAGAGTGGTCATATCTTCGAGATTGACTACAGCAGAGTTGTCATTAGAAATGTGAGGAGGCTGTTTGCTGCACAACAGCAGCATGCAGAGCGAAGAGAGAAATGGACTTTTAACACAGGTTTGTTTGAAATAAATCGTAGAGATAAAATGGATGTTTTCTCGTAGCTTAAAGTGGGAGTTGGATAGAGCTAAAAAAAACTTTGATGCCCTCAGAGGCTTTTTACAAAGCATGTTTTTATGCCCCAGGTCCTGCCATTGCCATCAATAGCATAAGTGTGTCCTCATCGTTTTGTGCCACGGGCTCTGAAGATGGCTTCCTGCGGCTCTGGCCCCTTGATTTTTCTGCTGTCTTCCTGGAGGCTGGTAGGCACAGCAGGTCATAGCATAACATCTCCCTGCGGCAAACTAACAATAGCTGACAGTTCCCACTCCACAGGCAGTGGTCTAAACTTTAGTTCATGTATGTTTTTATTATCAGATTGTCTACTTGAGAATGTAACAGTTGCATCTTTTTGGGCTGTAGCATGAATTTTGCTACATTTTATCAAACCCGTTAAACCAACTAAAGCAAGTTTTTCAAACCTGGCATACAGTGAGGAACAGAAGTATTTGAACACCCTGCGATTTTGCAAGTTCTCCCACTTAGAAATCATGGAGGGGTCTGAAATTCACATTGTAGGGTCATTCCCACTCTGAGAGACAGAATAAAAAAAAAAAAAAATTCAGGAAATCACATTGTATGATTTTTAAAGAATTTATTTGTCTTGCACTGCTGAACATAAGTATTTGAACACCTGAGAAAATCAGTGTTAATATTTGGTACAGAAACCTTTGTTTGCAATTACAGAGGTCAAACGTTTCCTGTAGTTCTTGACCAGATTTGCACACACTGCAACAGGGATTTTGGCCCACTCCTCCACACAGATCTCCTCTAGATCTGTCAGGTTTCGGGGCTGTCGCTGAGCAACGCGGAGTTTAAGCTCCCTCCAAAGATGTTCTATTGGATTGAGAGCTCTCTTTAGCAGAGAACATCTCCTCTCCCTTTTCTCCTCTTCTTCCATCAATAGAGTCTTTGTCAGTGTTGTTCTTCATCATTTATGCATTAATGCAACATGACATAAAAGGAAATAATGTCCTTAAAAATAAAAAATGTGGGCTAGTATTTTCAAAGTGATTTGAATTTAGAGTAGTGCTTGAAGCTTTTATTTGGTGGAGAGGAGTAAAATCCTGTGATGATCCTTCATAATGTAGCTGGGTGGCTGTAGTTGTTTCATCATGAGAACAATCATGAGAATAATTTAAGGGTATTGACAGATGGTCATTTTTTATGGCATACTCCTGAATCACTTCATCATCACTATGGAAACTGTGTGTGTGCTCCTTTAATTTGAGTGAACTGAGCTGAAGGTCCCACAGATTTGTTATATTAAACTGTAATCTTCAATCATCTCTAATTTATTGGATCCCCAGCTGCTTCTCTTGCTGCCCCCATCCTTTGAGTGTCTTTGCTTGTGCATGAGTTCGCATATACATATGTATGCCATATATGCATGTGTGTCCCCCAAAGCAATAAAGTCTTTCATTTTTTTATATCTCCATCTCCCATATTCCCACCCACACATAATTGAACAGCACTGCAGCCTGTGAATATTGTGTTAGAGAGACACCCGCTGGTAGGTGTAGGGAGTGCACTTCACATGTTACCTACTGAACATAGAAGCCCTACCCATTAAGGAGCTCAGACAGGTGCTACTAATTTAGATTAATGAGTGGAGTAGAGGTGGACTTTTTCAAGGCACAGTAACAGGTCTTTGAGAGCCAGAATTCTTGCTGTTTCTCAGGTGTTTAAATACTTATGTTCAGCAGTGCAAGACAAATAAATTCTTTAAAAATCATACAATGTGATTTCCTGAATTTTTTTTTTAATTCTGTCTCTCAGAGTGGGAATGCACCTACAATGTGAATTTCAGACCCCTCCATGATTTCTAAGTGGGAGAATTTGCAAAATCACAGGGTGTTCAAATACTTCTGTTCCTCACTGTATGTATACATTTTTTTGCTGGTTGTCATCACATTTGTGTACTGATATTCTGTGAATATAACATGTACCATCTGTGCACTGTTACACACAGACCAACAAAAAAATGTATTTAAAGAATTTAACTCAGACGTCATTGTTTTCCAGAGCATGAAGGACCTGTGAGCTTGGTGTCGGTGTCATCAGACAGCCTTCAGGTCCTGGCAGCCACCTCTAATGGCAACCTGGGTTTCCTTGATGTGAGCAGCCGTGGTTACAACACACTAATGAGGTCACATACAGACACTGTGCTCTGCTTCAGTGTGGATGGCATCCGTCGGCATCTCACAACAGCCTCCTCCGACGGCACAGTGCGCATTTGGAATATGGATTCCTTGCATCAGGTCAGCCAGCACCGCATTTGTTTTTAGCAGCTATTATTAACTTGCTATAATGATCAAGTCCTACTATTTGTGTGTTTTATTAATATCTGCTATGTTGTAGAGCTCAGAGGATATCATTTTAAATTTCAAAATTTCATCTAAGAGACACTGTCTTTGAATTTGTTGAACAAGACAAATATCAGGTCTATGTACACAGTCAAACTTTAGAAAAACTAGACATTGGCATTCTATGTGGCTTTTGTCCTTTCTCTGTTGATGCAAGGCCATGTGAAGCTCTGTTTTTATTCCTTGCCGGCCTTTGCTTTAGAGAGCGAGAGAGAATATTTCAGCCTTTGATTCTCTTTGTTCCCAAAGTAAGAAACGATCAAATGCTACACACAGAGACTTTAACCGTCAACTGTAAAACTAATTTTGAAGCGAAGGTGATTATTCTTCTTCTAGAGACTCACAAGTCTCCAACTTCAAACTAAACCACAAAGTATGTATTGTTGTAACCCTCATAAGAAAATGCAATTTGAACTTGTTTTTTTTTTCTACTGTCTTGAAAATAATGATGAGTGATCTTTAAACTGAAGAAACTGACATGATCTCTGTTACCAGTGTTTTACAGTCGGCATATTTACTGTTGAGCTAATTGTCTGTCCTGCTGTCTCCTGTGCTTAGTTGTATGATTTTGTGTCTGAGGACAGCCCCTGCTCAGTGGCCTTCCATCCCAGTGAGCAGGTCTTCTCTTGTGGCTTCAGCTCCGGCATCATCAGAGTCTTTGACATCTCCAGTGCCAAGCTGCTGGTTGAACACAAGTATGTCTAAATTAATGTACTTGTTCCAACACAGGCTGCAATACTTTGCTTTTTTGGACACAAAAAGCTTGTAGAGGTGCAGTTACTATATGCTGCAGTATATTACCTAAAAATCCACATATTCTTCCCAGCTTAGCCAGTTTCAGGTTTCATCTGTTTTATAGGCACATTGTGATGCATTGATTATGATGATGTGACATATTGCTAAGCATAAAGTGTACTAGCTGTAAAATACACTCTAAAGTGACTGGAATTGTAATTTGGCATTTATAATCACGGCGCACATTTGCAATGTTACAGGCAGCATCGAGGTGAAGTGGTGGGTCTTGCCTTCTCTTTAGATGGGGAGTTCATGTACAGTGCCGACTCTCAGGGCTCTCTGGCACTTTACAACTCCTCTGAAGAAGAACACGATGTGATCAGAGTTGTGTGTATGTATACATATGTCCAACAAACACATCTCAAGTTAATTTCAGTACATTGTATGTTAGACAAAACAGAAATCACCTTAATCATACAGTAAGATATTCATACATGCACAGTATCAGATTATATTAGATAACAATTTGATTACATTCTATATATATATAATTGACAACTCTATGAGAGAATGCATGCACCTATTAGCAGTTGATGTAGTGGATAACTCAACAACTTACCAGTTTGAATCACAGACAAAAAGTTACTGATATCAGGCAGCCTTGTTCAACATGCGGGTTGTTTGATTCACTCTGATTGGCCAGGTAATGTAGTGGCTCGAGGCACTGAGCGCGCTCCAGATGCTCTCACAGTGAGCAGTGACAGCCGCTGTCTGGCTTTTGTTGGCCCCTCGGAGTACATTGTCACCATTGCTGATGCGCGCTCTCTGGATGAGGTATGTTCCACACTGTCACCTTTCAGCACCATGTACATTGCTCAGGTAACTTAAGATGAGATTTCCCTTAAGAGTTACAAAGGAGGAGTGAGGCAGCATCACTCAATGGGTATGTATGATTCTCTTTTTGGGGTTTTTCTCAAGACAATACCATAGAGATGATGTTCACAACATGAACCAAAATGACTGTAGTATAACTACTCTCACCATTTAAAACTGATTCATGATTGTGACCTGAACTTTAGAAGTCATGCTTGTCTAGGTTCATATGTCGTACTGTGTTCATATGCATCTATGCTGACCCATGCCATCTTCATGCAGCTGCTCCGTGTAGATGTGAGTATTTTGGATGTAGAGAGCCCCCATCTAGATTCTGCACTGAAGGTCTGCTTCTCACCATCCTCCATTGAACACTTGCTGGTTGCTACATCAACTAACAAAATCCTCTGGATTAGCACTAAGACGGGCTGTCTGCTCCGAGAGGTAACAACACTGAACATTAACACAGAAGTTGACTATGTTAAAGTTTGTCTCTCATTTGATCCCGTTTTCAGTGATATGTGGGAGTGTTGGTTATTGATTCCTCTCCCCATGCAGGTGTCTAAGGTGCACAGAGACCAGTGCTTGTCCCTGGATGTCAGGGTGGGATTATAACATGCTGCTTGATATTAACTCACAGGTATCTGACAGTTAAAGAATTTATATTGTTAAGAATGAGTACTACTGAGTACACTATAAAGTACCAATACTCAATGCAGTCATTCATACACTTAAGTAGTAAAATGTTGCACTCTTCATTATCATAGAAAATAGGTTGTCTTCTTTTAATTTAACAATAAGTGTATTAGTAGTTCATGTTGTGTCAGTAGTAATTGAAGCATGCATTTATCTGTACCAGATGTTCATAGGCCACAGTCAGCCCGTCTGCCAGGTGAGGTTCACCCCTGACCAATTGGGTGTAGTCTCAGTGGGAGATGCCATATTCTTCTGGGACTTCCTAGCACATCCTGCTGATTCTTTGACTGACAACTGGTAATAAGCTGATGTGTGTTTTATCCATGTTGCTATTGCTTGTGGTACACTTTGTTTTATTCTTGAATGCCTGAAACACTGTGCCTTCACTCACAGTTCACCTCTCAGAGTAAGCTACATCTCAGCCCCTAAAACAGGTAACTTAAATCAAAGTTCATAGTCCTTCAACAGGAAAATAGAATGTACCTGATTCAAATGTTCTCTTTAATTACAAATAAACTGTTGCTCTTGTGTTTTCATGTAACATCTCAACCAGACACTGAAGTGGGTAGAGTTCAGTTGTCAAATGGGATGCCTCGAGAGAAGGCACCCATCCCCTCCTCACCACCTCCACAGCTGGACATCAGCACCATCGACCAAGTTGACCAGGGCGGTATGTCCTCTTTTTAAAATTTCAGTTACCCACCAGCACATCCTATCTACTGTTAACTATATGATTAGCAGATAAAACTGAAAATCTTTATGCATACACATTAGTAGCTAATGTCTTGTTCAGCTGGGACCAGTTACAGGTTGCACGAGAAAAATAGGGTCATAACAGATCACAGATTTACCACAGAGATGTTACAATCTATACAGCATACAACACAGTATTTTGTTAAACCCTTAAATTGGAGATGCATTTCTAACCATTCTCCAGCTGGAAATAAATGTATCATTCCATTACCCATTGAACTGGCAGAGAAAGGCTTGCACCACAAAACTTTCATCAACTTTTCAGGTGTTGCAGCTCTTGCAAAAATATTGTTTTATTTGCTTATACAAGGGTTATGTCTGTCAACCTATAGAGTGGATATAGGTCATCAGGTACCCTGCTGGCATAATAAGATGGCCAAAGGAGGAGATAGAGGCCACTGACATCAAGATAAGGAAGCTCCTTACAATGCACAGCGGGTTTCACCCCAAGTCCATCATCCTAAGACTGTACACTAAGCAGAAGGAAGGAGGCCGAGGATTAGTGAGCTTCAGAGCCACTATCCAGGCTGAAACAACAAAGATCCATGAATTACATCAGGAAGATGGCCCCAAGTGATGATGTGCTTAGTGAACACCTCAGACAACAGAAACCAGAGGAACAAGGGAAGGAAGAGCAGGAGCCCTCATGGAAGGACAAACCCCTGCACAGTATGTACCAGTATCAGATAGAGGAAGTTAATACTGAAAAGTCCTACCAGTGGCTGGATAAAGCTGGACTGAAAGACAGCACAGAGGCACTAATCCTGGCAGCACAGGAACAGGCTCTAAGTAAAAGATCATTAGAAGCTGGGGTCTACCATACCAGACAGGACCCCAGGTGCAGGTTGTGCAAAGATGCCCTTCAGACAATCCAGTACATAACAGTGGGGTGCAAGATGCTAGCAGGCAGGGCATACATGGAACGCCATAACCAAGTGGCTGGCATAGTGTACAGAAACATCTGTGCCGAGTACAGGCTGGAAGTCCCAAAGTCAAAATGGGATACACCTCCAAAGGTGGTTGAGAATGACCAAGCTAAGATCCTGTGGGACTTCCAGATACAAACTGACAAACTGGTAATGGCCAACCAACCGGACATAGTAGTGGTGGACAAACAGAGGAAGAAGGCCGTAGTGATAGATGTAGCAATCCCAAGTGATAGCAACATCCGGAAGAAGGAACACGAGAAGTTTGAGAAATACCAAGGGCTGAAAGAAGAGCTAGAAAAGATGTGGAAGGTGAAGGCACAAGTGGTCCCAGTGGTAATAGGAACACTGGGGGCTGTGACCCCCAAACTGGGAGAGTGGCTCCAACAGATCCCAGGAACAACATCTGAGATCTCTGTCCAGAAGAGTGCAGTGCTGGGAACAGCTAAGATACTGAGCAGGACCCTCAAGCTCCCAGGCCTCTGGTAGAGGACCTGAGCTTGAAGGAAGGAATACAAGACCGCCCCAAAGTGGGGGGGGCGAGTGGGGAGTTTATATATATATATATGTATATAGAATTCTGAGGCTTCCAAATTAACTGTTACAGATCAGGGCAAATATTGTTCAATATAGCCTAACACAAGCATATATTAATTCTGACATTGTTTTAAATCACTAGTGGGATTAATAAACACCTTAGTTCCCAGCAAAAACAAGTTGCTTAGCAACACCAAAATTTACAGCATGGGCAACACACATCAATAACAGAGGTATTCAGTGGATGCAAGGACTTGGTGTTTAGGTTTATTGTCAACTTCAGCTGTATTTTCTCTCCTGTCTCTCTCCCACAGCTTTTGGCTCTTCATCCAACACCCTGACCACACTGGCAGTTTCAGTCCAAGCTACTGGTTTAGGTCCTTCTGAACCCAGACCGGCTGGCTCTTTCCTTAAAGTCACAGAGCTGGTCGACACATCTCCCCTTAATACCAGTCACATAGACACTGGTAAGTGCTCAGCTGCATTATTTAGTATTGGCAGTGAACTGCTTTTTGAGTTTATTTTTTATGGCAGCAATGTACCTTATCTTTTTCCAATTAATACTCTTTCCTGATTTAGCTGATTTGAAAGGGGACAAGCCAGTGCGCCCAGACTGTTATAGGCACTTTATTCCACATTTCAAGTCTTCCACTCTGAAACAAGTAAGGAGCACTTTCTCAGCTGTAGTCACTGAGTGTATCCGAATGTCTGCTGTCCAGTCTTACTGTTTTCTCTGATCCAGGCTGCTGCGGCTCCCCAAGCAGGAGAAGAGGGCATAAAGCTAAAAGCAGTGATTGGCTACAATGGCAATGGGCGTGGAAACATGGTGTGGAGCCCTGAGCAAGGTTATCATAATATACTGAAAGTAAAAGTAAATCAAAAAGTGTATAAACAAGCTTATGTCTAGTTTGCAAAATGAGCACACTAAACACAGTGAGCCGAGATTTGTTACCCACCTAAACTGTGAAGCTGGATCAAAAAGTTTCAAAATGTATTTTGAAGTGTGCATAAAGTCAGAGGATCTAATACAATGAGACACAGCAATGCTAGCTTAAATATGTCACTTGGGGTCATGACTAGAGGCTTGACACAATATTTTTCTCTTTAAATATACTGTACAGTAGAACAGCTAGTTGTCGAACGGCTATAACTAACAACAGGTTTAAATAATAGTAAACACAATAGATGTACTTTTCCATACAAGAAGATATGGAGGCACACAAATGAGAACTACTAATGATGTTTTCAATTAATAGTTTTGTGTCAGTTGGCTTGAAAATAATGAAAAATGCTTGTTATACTGTAATTTCTCACAGCTCAGGAGGATATACAGTATAATTACACAATGAAATCTAACTAAAGTTAAGCTAAATAACAAAATGGGAATAATAGTTAACTTCAGTCCTTGTTTTGCTTTTTTATGTAATTAATTTTTGTTGTAGGTTTGTTTGCGTACTCGTGTGGCTGTGTTGTGGTGGTGGAGTACCTTCATACTGGTTGTCAGAGACACTTGCAAGGCCAGAGTGAGGAGATCTCCTGTCTTGCCATTACCAGTGATGCACAGGTATGTTTCATAGTTTTAAACGTCACAGTTACGTAACCATAATTTAAAACAGCCTGTGTGACCGTGATGTGAACAGTAATGACAAAGAGCTCATGTCACTGTCTACTCAGGTGCTTTGGGTTGTCCTAACAAGGTTTGAGCTTTGTACTGTAGGTATCTTAACAAACAGTAAGTGCAGTTGGTGATGCTGCCCTCAGGCACATTCTGAATGTGTGCTTGTGTTTTGGATAAAAGCCCCCCCATGCTGAGATGTTTGCTGTTGAGTTATAGGCCAGTTTGTTCGTCCTCTGAAAATTAAAAAGCTAAAACGGCCTTAGCATTTGTGTTTTATATAAGTAGCGCGACCATCTACCTTGTTTTTATTTTGGCTTTTAATCCCTACTAATTCCCTATGTACAATTTTTTTGTTTTTTTATGCTGTTTATATTATTTATGATAGTCATTCTGTATTTTGAAAATTGTATTATTTTAAGGACTTTTTCATTAAGTGTTTTACATTTTTTACTGTGCACACATCACAGTTAACTTACACTAACAGAAACTTCTCATTTTCAGCTGCTGTCATCTCATATGACAACTGATGTCATCACGTTGTCAGCTATTTAACATTAATTCATTTATATATATATATATGTCTTGTTTTTAATGTTTTTGATGGAGCAAGGCATTTCAGTTCAGTGTGGATTAGATGCAGTGAACTGCATCAAGCTGCATCTTATATGGACTCAGTGGTGCTTTGTGTCTGTTGTGCTATCTCCCGTCCAGACAGTGGCATCAGCTGCTGGAAGCAGTAATAACAGCAGAAGCCTCATCTGCATTTGGGATGTCCAGAATGGAACTTGTCGTAAAACCATCTCATACCACATGGGGGAAGTGCAGAGTCTTGCTTTCTCCAGGGATGATCGCTTCTTTCTCTCTGTTGGTCAGAAAAATATTAATTGGATTGCATCCATCAGTTATGAATGTTTCCTGTAGATTTAAATGTGGTGTTTTGCGTCACTTTGCACATAATGATTAAAGTATAAGAAATGTCTCTGTGTTGGCCAATCAAGTGATTCTGTTTCTACTGACCACTGATTCTTTCCAATGCTCCGTAGGAGACTTTTCTGACCCTGAGGTGGTTCTGTGGAGCAGCAAGACCTTCCAGATGCTGTCTAATGTGAAAGTGTCAGGGCCAATTCACGACGCAGCCTTCAGCCCCTCAGCAGCCAGCCAGCTGGCCTGTGTGGGGAGCCAAGGGGCCTACTTCTGCCTTATCGACACCCATGGCCTTGATGCAGACCTCAAGGTAAATGACCACAGAAAAATGACGAGTTTAACTGACAAAAAACTCCTAACTTGAAATCCCCTATGTTGGCTCAAAATGTGTGACACTTTCTTTCAGGTACATTTAGTATGTCAAAGCTGGTTGTTTTGATTGGGTAAAGATTTGACCACTTTTTCTCTCTTCCAGGTTCAGAGGGTGAAAGCACCAGCAGAGGTTGGTGATGTGGAGCTGACAGCTCTGTGCTACCACATGGAGTCCTTTCTCTTCACTGCCACCAATCAAGGACATGTTTGTGTCTGGGACGTTAACACACAGCACTGCTTAATGACCTGGGAAGCTGATGAGGGAGAGATCGGTATAAATTAACTGTATATTGACCATATTTTGGATAGTAATATTTTGTAGCTAAAAACTATTAATGGTATACACAGGAAAAAATATGCATCATTTTGAGTCATGCAGCTTACATTTATTTTGGCCCTGGGTGGTTTCTATAAATGGTAATTGGTTGATATGGTTTCTTGGTGTAGGAGTGCTGCTGTGTCGAGGGAAGCGGCTGTTGACAGGCAGCAACACCTGCTGGTTGCGACTGTGGGAGGTAGAAGCTATACAGGGTGTGAAGCCTCAGGAAAAGGTCTTTGGTTTAAAAGACAGGTCTGTAGCTCATTCATGATTTGTCCTGTGTCTTATCTATGCAGTAGCTTCAGTGTTCTATGACCAGATGCTGGAACAAAACTAATCCATCTTTACTAATTTTGAGCCACTGAAAACTAAAATGACATGTCAAATTGTTGATTGGCTCTGGTTTGTAAAGTATGGCACTGGCCATGTGTGGATTTTGGTTAAAAATGAGTTATCTTTGTGAAATTACAGAAGGATATATTTTGGAGCAAAACCTGAAATTTTAACCAAAACTCTTGGTGGATGTCATGACACAAAAGGCAGGAACATATTAGAGAAGTAAAAAAAGTTTAAAGTTAAAAAAGACCAATTTTTGAAAGGAAAAAAAACAACAACCTGATTCTACATTTATCCCTTTTGGGTAACCTTAGTGAGAGTTTAGCTACATTTTGATCTGTTTAATATCTGAGTTAGCCAGTATGTTAAATTAGGTTACTTTACTTGTACCCATAGGCAGATTTGTTTTGCAGCAAGATACAAATGCAAATATAACCTAAGACAGCACAATAAAACATGATAAAAGTACTCCAGGCTCCACTAATCAGGACATAAATGAGAGGGAGAAATATCAATAAAAATGACTCCAAATGACTAAATAAATAACAATATTACAACTTAATAATCTCAGTGATGGCAGCAGGAACACAGCTGTTTTAATGATGCTTCATTCTACACCTGGAAACTAAAGACTTCCATCCAAAGAGGAGAAGCTGAAATTGCTTATGTAAAGGGTGGGAGGCATCATTTAAAATAGGGGCCACCGTCTGTACCTACTTAACGTATAGGGGCACAAGATAAGGCTGCGGCTCACCAATCGGCCAATTTGACCATTTCACAGTTTGGTTCAAGGACCACGGCACCAAAGAGAAGGATAGGGTTGGTTAAAAAAACATCATGATAAAATGTGGTCATTATGGTTTGATCAATGTGAAAAAAGGACCATTTCCTTAAACAATACAAGCACTGGTGACCTTTTTTGCATACAGCTTTACAACTAGCTTCAAAATCCAGTTTTGGGTCAACAATAGTCCCAAGGTATTTGTAAGATTGCACATAGTCAGCAGTCTGACCTTTTAATCAAAGTAAATTCACTGATGTGGGTTTTTTTTTTCTCTAAATATACCACGCCGTTGCCAACAGCTAACAATTTATTTCCAACTTTTAGGCTAATTGACTTGCTGTATAAAAAAATCTGTAATTCTCTGGGGCCTTGTAAACAATAACAGGCTGAGAAGTGCACCCATGTAATTTAAATTAGCACGAGCATGAAACTCCACATCCATCCACTCTGCTCCACCCAGCGCTCCCTCTCCCTGCTCCACTGTGCTCTACTACTATCTAATACACTCCGCCACACTCTGCTCAGCTCTTCAGATATTTGTCACTATGAAATTACAAGATGTGAGAATGCAACTAAACTTATTGATCAAGCAGAAATAATTGAAAATCTCTGATTGGTCACAGAGGTCGGTCCCACTCAAAAACCGTTAGAAGCTAATATGTCTGCACTGCTGCCAGTGCTGTTCAATGAGTCTGGGTAACAGAAGGCTTTGACAGCACTTCTCCACATTTTGGAGCAGATTTCTACAACAAAAATATTTGAAAAAGTGACATACTGTAGATTTAGGAAACATGGTACATTTATGCAAATGAGAAGTGAGGGATAAATGCTGGCTTCTGCTGGGCCTGATTTGTAGATTGATTTTTGGTCACATGTGTCTGTCCTTCAGTGGGACTAAGGTGGTGCTGGAGCAAGAGATAATGCTGGATGGAACAATAGTCAGTGCAGCTTTTGATAACACAATGGACATGGGCATTGTTGGCACCACCGCAGGAACCCTCTGGTATATCAACTGGTCAGACAACAGCAGCATTCGGCTGGTCAGCGGGCACAGGACCAAGGTACCAGTGTAGGAAATAAAAAGTAACAAAATATTGCTGGGTCCCTGGAGCTTGTAATAATATTAATGAATGATAGATAATAAACAGTTTCCCTTTTTTATTCATTGATGTATTACTATGATAACTGTTGCTATCTGATGTTAATTAATGTAAACATAATTAATTATTGATTGTGGCAAGAGGAGTAGGTAAGAAGAATGGAAAATTACCCTACATGACCTGGGAGGAAGCTTTGTTTTCCAGAAGCCAGGGTTGTCCTGCTAATATTAATGCGATGATTGGGAATTGACAGGTTACAAACTCCTGTTGTGTTTGTACCCAGACAGGGGCTTCATTCTTTTTGTGTTTCACCTCTGTGCCGTCCAGGTGAATGATGTGGTGTTTAGCTCTGACGAGAGCCATTTCGCCACCTGCAGCGAGGATGGTAGTGTGAGGGTGTGGTCAGCCCCCAGCAACGAACTGCTGGTACAGTTCCAAGTACTCGATCAGGTGAGGGAATACACTTAGGATTATTTTAAATCAATAATTATGTCAGGTCTAGTATAAACGGAAGGAATGCGGGCCAGCAGCGCATTTTTCTAATTAATGAATTATAACTTGATTGACATATTATATAAAAAAAACCATCAATCCTAAAAGGAATAGCGGTTTTTCATTTTGAACATGGCATCGGGATGTTTCCTATAGCCTTCCAGCATGTGGTGGGTGACAAGGTGGGTATGGTTACATCCACTGTGCACCATACTGCATACTCCTTTTTACTAGCTCCTGTTTTTTTTCTTCTTCTTCTTCCATTGGTCAGGCCTGTGGCTGTGTATGCTGGAGCCCTTCTTCCAGTAAAGACAGTGTGTGTTTGGCAGCAGGATACAGCGGTGGGACCCTGAGGATCTTCCGGCTTGCCTCCTCAGAGATGGAGCTGAAGCTGCATCCCCATCGGGTGGCTGTCACCGCCATCCAGTACTCAGCTAATGGTGAGAAAGAACTGCAGTGCTATTTGCAGAAATGGTGTTACTTGCATTGCAGGAGCTGTTTCATGATGAAATGTTGTTTATGGCCTGTCCCCCTTTGCCTTAGTCTTCCTCTTCTCTGTCTGCTTCCTTTGGTGAACTGTTTTCTGCTGTGCCTTTAACCACAGAAGAGGCATATGTTTGCTTTGAATATGTGTATAGAACAGTGGTCTTCAAACTTTTTCTGCTGGGCCCCCCTTTGTGGATAAAAATATGGGAGGAGGCCCCGGGGAAGACCCAGGACACACTGGAGGGATTTTGTCTCTCAGCTGGCCTGGGAACGGCTCGGCATCATTCCTCCAGAGGAGCTGGAGGAAGTGTCTGGAGAGAGGGAAGTCTGGGCATCTTTGCTTAGACTGCTGCCCCCGCGACCCGGTTCCAGAGGAAAATGGATGGATGGATGGATGGATGGATAGTTGCATAACTCCTTTTGCCCCCCCTACAGGTCATGTGATCCTTTCAGCAGGGAAGAATGGCCTGGTAGCTATCAGCAGCCCAGTGAATGGAGCAACTGTCCGTGTCATCAGGGACCACAAAGGAGCACAGATTACCACCATCCAGTGTGTGAATGAACAGGTCAGCTCACCAAGGAGCGGAGCTTTATCAGAATTTAATGTGGAAACACAATCAAAACTGTGAAAGAGGTGCAAGAGGTTAGAATTGCCCCAGTAAGCCACATTTAAGAGTGATCAGCTACAAAATCCTAAGAGTATCTCTCTCTTTTAATATCAAATGAAAACTTAAGACACCTTAGGTTTTACGCTAACTAGTTAGTCCCTGATTAATTTAATTTATTCAATTTCAATATATTCCATCGTGTCTTTATTCCTGAAATAGGTGTACTTGTACTGTAGTTTGCTTTAAAATGATCATTTCAAATCTGCCTCACTTTTCAAATGCACTTTTAATTTATGCATCACCTTATCCTCACACAGTGTTAGTTGAAGTGGCAGTCCTCTTCTTTAGCACAAGTGCTGTTCATGAGCTTTCTGCATCTGCAGCATAAAAGACTATGGCTTGTATGTGATGCTGTTCAAAATTTGCTGTCTGACATTGTTCTTCTCATACTTTATGACATTTTTTCATCACTTTGTGTCTGAGGATGTTTTATCTTCTAATCCACAGTGTAGGAATTTCGGGCTGGAAGGAAATGAGTTGTGGTTGGCCATCAGTGGTGATAGACGCATCAGTGTGTGGGCTGCTGATTGGTTGAAGGACAAGTGTGATCTGCTAGACTGGCTGACACTTCCTGCTCCAGCCTATTTTGGGGTACCGTTTATATTTTAAGTAGCAGTGCATAGTAGCGACTAACAAAATCACTACAAATGTGTATTGTTTTCTTGTTCTCTACGTGTTTTTTAAGGCTAATAAAATGCTCGATTTCCCTTTAGTTAGATAAAATACATTTGCATATTTTATACAAGGTCAAACATTTAACTATGAGACTGATACCTTTAACCCTTTAGCCATATAATTCTCAGGAATTTATCTGTTAAATCAAATGTTTCTTGTAACTTCACATGACAAACAACATGACATGATTGAATGTATTGATACTTCCCTCAGCTACCAAATAAAATTTCTTACAAAAACCTAAGCTCAGTCCATGTTTGACAGTTAGCTGGTATATATTTCTGTAAGCTCTTTGTGTTGCAGGATGACAGCCCACCTCTGAGCCTGGCTGCCTTCTGTCCAGCAGACCCTGGCCTGTTAGTCTACACTGGCTATGGAGTAGAAAAGGAGTTGTGCTTCTACAGCCTGAGGAAAAAACAGGTACCAAAGCTCTCCCCTGTGCTCTGATTTTTTTATTCTTTATCTCTACAGGGCAGATGTTGCTGGTAGAATATTTTATGTGTAATTTCATACAGTATACTTTTTTTTTAACTACAGATAATCAAAAAGGTTGCCCTGCCCGACTGGGTCACATGCCTTAGCTTGTCCTCAAAGAGTCAGCTCATAGCTGTGGGATCAAAAGGTAAACTCTGGTCTTGTTTATATGAAATATCTTCATATGGTTCTAGTAAAAAAGAATTGTAATATAGGTTTGGGGCAGGTTTGTTATTATCTTCTCATTACATGTCTAATCTTTTATCAGGACGAGTGTTGAAGGTGATCAACTCGAGCAGTGGCAGGTTTCAGGACTTCCTGCAGCACAGTGACTCACTGCAGACGTGTCACTACTCCCCCTCTGGGACACTTCTGTTCTCTGTGGCTTATAATGAGATCTTTCTTTGGGAAGTGTTGGGCCTCTAAGGGCCTCAGATTTGTTTATGAACCCTCAGACCTATGAGATTGGTTCAAATTCACATGTGCCTGGTTTAAATTGTTACTTCAAGTGATTTTATTGTTTTGTAATTTTTTTAATTAGTTTTTAATCTATCTTTTTATGGAAGTAGCAATAATTTGTGGAGAAACTTTACGTGAGCATTCCCACACCTGACTTTAGAAAATGAAAATAAATACCGATATTATTTTCATTAAATGGATTGTTTGGTGTTTTGCAGTGACTTATAATGCTTAACTATTTTTTCCATTTAAATGAAAGTTAAGGTAATCAATTAGTAATTACAAATTAAGCAAAGACAGCATGTCTTAAACTGAATAAAATGCACACGCTGTTCCCATAGCATTGTCCAGCAAAAAACAGATCAAATGACTGCATAGTGATCCCTCAGAACAGTACTATCAGTATTTCTACTTCCATTTTTCCAAGGTTGATCAACCAGTTCTAGGTAATATCATCCCATCTGGCGAGGTGGAAAGCCCTATTATTAATAGAAAAACTAGCTGGAAGTGGAACATAAGACTGTCCCAGGCAGATTAAATCATGGCAAACAGGACAGTTATTGTACATTGGGGATGTTTGATAATGACTTATAAATAATTGTTGGGACTGTAATAAATACCAGCTGACATGATACCACATTAAGAATTCAGATGATCCTCTCCCTTTTTTCTCTTGTTTGTACTTTGTGGATTGTTGTACTGTAAGTCACATGACTCAACCAAAGCCCATTGTAAATTACCCCAGAAATTTTTGACAGTAGTTTCCCAAATGATACATTCATCTTCATTACCCTTTGCATCAAATAATACTATTTTCATATTCTAAAGTATGTAGTGTGTGTGGGTGATGCTATTTGAAGTTTGTTTTCTGCTCATTTACAAAACCCACATACATTTTGTCAAATATAATATTGTTCGAGGTATCAGACGCTCTGAAAATGAGCCGCATGGTGTGTGGTTGTCCAGCAGGGGGCGCGTTTCCGCAGTTTTCTGTGTGAACCGGAACGGGATGGTTTCACTGTGCGCGCACATCGCTGTGGAGAGTTTCACGTTTTGTTTAAGTTAAAAATTTGACACTCGCATTAAAGATAAATGTCACTGTCGGACTGTTCTTCATAGAGAGCGGAAACATGAAACAAGATGTCAGGATACTTTTACTGGGGGAACGTAAGTCATTGCACAGCTCACCACACTAGCAAATATCAGCGGTTAGAACTAACTTGTAGCCGCTCCTCGGGGGCATTGTATTAAACAAATATATGTTTGCACTTTCCCTATTATGTAAAATTACATTGTTTGGTAAGCAGTTGGCGCTTTGCAAATGTTAATTTCCGTTATGCTAATGCAGCGTAGAGTTACGTCTAACAGTAAATGGTTAGCTGCTAGACAGAAGTTGGTAATTGTGGTTTTGTGCTCTCATTAGGTAGCTAACAGATTAGCTTTCCTACACCATGTAATATTACTCAGCACACCGTATAATTGGTTTTCCGCGTTAACCAGAGAGCATTGGCGTATTAGCTAGCTAGCTAGTTGTTAAAACTAGCTGCAGTCTGGCAATTTCCATATAAACCTATCTAAGTAGGTAGCTGGTTAACCCAACTATCTAGTAGGTTAATTAGTTATGACTAACCTTTTATGTCACCATGGTTCATTAAAGGGTTATTAGAGCTGGACAGGTAAGTATAATGATGTTATCAGGTGATCAGTATAGATGTGTCAATCACATTAACGTTATTATTGTCTGTTTGATTTAAGGGATGAAATCTCTGAATAGATGTTCTATAATACTGCTTCCTTAACTAGCTGCATGTCAGGATATTTATGTTAATGGCAGCATCAAGTTAAATTGCTAAGACTTATTTTTACAGTAATAGTTGCCACTTAAACATACAGATGATACTGGACCATTGAGTCTGTCTTTAGCGGCTCATCTCATCCTCTTCATATTTCTTGTCCTGACAGCCAAGGTGGGGAAGACGTCTCTCATCATGTCTTTGGTTGGAGAAGAGTTTCCAGAAGAAGTAAGTGTCCGTGCAATGATTCACTGCTGCAGTGAATCATTGCTGCAGTTTTTGCTTCGACTTCCTTTGTGCCTTGTAATGTTGGTTTATTTCTGTGTATCTGTGACTTATGCAGCATGTTTGGGGTTTCATCTGCTGCAGTATGTACTACTGAGTTTCTGTGTAATTTTGATGACCTGTCTTTGATTGTGTCTTCTTTTAATACAAGTACACTTGCTGGCAGATGTGTAAGATTGTAGGTACACAGTAGTTTGGTACTACTCAAAATGCCTTGGCGAATATTAGTATTCACAGGAAAGTGGTGTTAATCACTCAAATGATCACACATTTGAGCTGTAGTTGCAGCAGCCTTGAACATTTCAGTTTAGGGCTTAAATGTGTTTATTAAAACCACAAAGATGTTCATGCTAAATGCAAAATGTGGGTTTGTATTATGTGAGACCGCAGTCTGATTAAGTGGTGATGATGAAGTGAAGAGTTTATCTGTGATCTCACAGGTTCCCCCCAGAGCTGAAGAAATCACCATCCCAGCTGATGTGACTCCTGAAAAGGTGCCTACACACATAGTCGACTACTCAGGTAATGTGACATGAAGGCCAATATGTAGCATTGGTGTCAGTACTTGTAGCACATTAAGACACCAAAAAACAGTTTAACGTGTACAGTTTTATAAGCCACCAGTAATGCATTTGGGTGAAAATGGCATGATTTTCAGGTTTGTTTGTGTTTGTCCTTAATTCCAACAGAAAAAGAGCAGAGTGATGCAGTCCTCAGAGATGAGATCATCAAGGTAAGTACACCATCCAGCACTAATGAGCGTATTGAATATAGTTTATTGATATGATTGATTATTTTCCATTTTCTGGGTCCAAGTATTTATTTCTCATGCATTATTAGATGCACCTGAATCATTACTATTTCTTTTTTGTTGTTGTTAACATTTCATTACATGTTGTTAGCCTTTCATTCTTTCTGCCCTTTTTATTTTCATTCGTCATGTACACATTGTGGAAAGATTGTTTTTGTTTATGTTTTTTAATTGTTTTTTTTTTTGTTTTGTTTTTTAACTAAAGGCCATAACCAGTCTTATTTAAAACAGGCTGGTTTTCATATTAAGTGTTTGTCATTTGTATTTTCTTCAACCCACGCAGGCTAATGTTGTGTGTGTAGTGTATGATGTCAGCAATGAGGACACCATAGACAAGGTAGTAACCACCTGCTTGCTTTACACTGAGTATTTTTCATTGACTGTAATAAGTATACTAGAGGTAACTGATACCTGTTTAGAGAGTATAAACAAATGACCCTTGTGTCATACGCTGCCTTTTATTTTTCAGATCAAAACCAAATGGATACCTTTAGTAAATGGAGATGCAGAGAAAGGGAAAAAGTATGTGCAGTATGAGCTGTTGATGGATGTGTGTTGGCTGTGCTTTGCTGTTGAACTTTGCACTCCTTCCCATTGTTTGCATTCAATGCTAACAAACTTGGCAGTGGAGCAATTTAAGCTTGTTGTAGTCTTAAGTCACTGTGAAAACGATAGAAGAGCATCAATGAAATGTCCAAAATATGCAGATTGAGTTCATGCATTAATATTTGAATCCTATTTGCATGTCCTGTCCTCATATGCTACATCAGGCTTCCCATCATCCTTGTGGGAAACAAGTCTGATCTGCGCTGTGGGAGCTCAATGGAAACCATTCTTCCCATCATGAACCAGTTCTCTGAAATTGAGACGTGTGTTGAGGTGAGGCTGCTAAACGCTGCAGTTTGTACACACCTCCTAACTTTATCTTTGAGATACACACATGGCTGCTGGGCTCCACACAAATATTGACATTCCCACTTTATCTGATATTTAGACTTTGTGTGATTGTATCTCTGATTTTTTTTTTCCTCTTTCAAGTGTTCTGCAAAGAACCTGAAAAACATTTCAGAGCTGTTCTACTATGCACAGAAGGCAGTTCTTCACCCCACCGCCCCTCTCTATGACCCTGAGGACAAACGGGTCAGCCATCTTTGATTACCTTTTTTTTTTTTTTGCTATATACTACATATCTTTTTAATAAGTACAAACTCAAGCAGATATGGTTGAAGCACATATATGGTACTAGCTTTAAATAAAATGACAAGTATTTACAACTACACAAAGAGAAAACTAAAATGTCAAAAAGAAATAAAACAAGTTTACAGTCAAACTAAATATCCCAACTCACCCATTCTCCCTCTCTTTAGATGTCAGAACTACTATGACCATATCAACTTTAGTCATTAAAAGATAAACATGTATGTAATCATATTTCTTCGTGTACATACTGTCCATTAGCATGTAGACTTGGTTGTACATGCACAATCAGATGTAACATGGAGTTACATTCTATATAGTTGTATGGATATGTACATGGTGTGAAACCTTAACAAAAGGGAGTGTGGTTGTGCAAACTGTTAAACAATGATCTGATATGCTCTCTAACCCTGTCTAAGAAAGTAATATTGTTTTGTTTGGTGGTGTTTATTTTGGAACTTTTCTATACCCAATACATCCAGTTGATATTATTAAGACTTTCCCATATTTCCTAGACATTATAGGTAAGAACTTATGGGACGGTATTAGAAAGTACAATTTGGAAACAAGGTTATCGTTCCTGCCCATGCCAAAGATTAGCCATATTATGGAAATGGGATGCCAGTTGGAGAGTTAGCTATATGTCCATGTAAATGATGACTATTTTTGTCCTCCAATTTTTTTCTCCAGCTAAAACCACTGTGTGTTCAAGCCCTCAGCAGAATATTCTATATTTCTGACCAGGACAATGACCATATCCTCAGTGACGCTGAACTGAACAGTTTTCAGGTGCCAGCTAAAATTGCTAACATAATCTTGCTTCAGTTTTTATTTGGACTAAAAATGTTGTGTTTGATATAAAATAATCCATCTTTTGTTTTGTAGAAATCCTGTTTTGGGAATCCTCTAGCACCTCAAGCCTTAGAAGATGTTAAGACCGTTGTTTGGAAGAACACCAGCGATGGGGTGCAAGATAATGGCCTTACCCTAAATGGTAAAAATCTATCATGAATGATAACATGCAGCTTTAAATAGTGTTGCTGCAAGGCCACATTCACCTAATAGCCAAGTACTGTGGCTCTTGTTTTCCAGGTTTCCTGTTCCTTAATACATTATTTATCCAGAGGGGTCGACATGAAACCACATGGACGATCCTCAGAAAGTTTGGTTATGACGACAAACTTGAGCTGACTGATGATTACCTTTACCCAGAGTATGTACCAGTCATTTTATGTATATGTATTTGTTACGTTATGTCTCAGATTTGCTATATTTCTCATTGGTGTTCATGTGAATTTGTCTGTGTAACATTTCTTTGTGCACATTAGTCAATACCCATGTGTTTAAATATGTAATTGCTGTTTCTGTGTGGTCAGACTACGGGTTCCCGTCGGCTGCACCACAGAACTCAATCATTTCGGTCACCAGTTCCTCCAGCAGCTGTTTGACAAGTACGATGAAGTGAGTAGCTGCCTTTTGGTCACAGTTTTGCACTGAGTGCGTAAGTGTAACAGAAAAATGCTGTGGAGAATTTCCTCATTGTGAGTAAGTGGATTTTTTCTCTTTAAGGACAAAGACTCTGCCCTTTCGCCGGCAGAGCTTAGGAACCTGTTCTGTGTGTGCCCGTACATGCCATGGGGTGCAGAGGTGTACGTGACGGTTCCAACTACAGATGAGGGCTACATCTCTCATCATGGCTATTTTTGTCAGTGGATGTAAGTATCTCACTTGTTTATTGATATTTTGTCTGGCTGTTAGCATGCTATTGGTTTACACTCTAATGCACTTAATTGCAGTTTATATTCTGCACAGCCCAAAGTTCACATTTATGTCCACACTCTCACGTGCAGGGTTTCTGCATACTTTGACATCCACCGCTGCCTGGAGCACCTAGGGTACCTAGGGTATCCCATCATCACTGAGCAAGAGTCACAGACTGCGGCAGTCACAGGTGGGCAAGTATGAGTGACTCTTTTAATTGTAGGTAATCCAAAACAAAACTGCATGTACATTACAAAGGTTGAGACCATTTCCCTAAGGAATGTGGGAGACATACTGTATACCCTCCTTGAAAGCTTAATCCCAGTCTCATTGTTAAGTACTATAGGCAGATTACCTGCCTTGGTCTAATGTCATAAAAAGATTTAGATACATGTATATTTAACCTTGAGATGTGACTGCACAATCCCCTTTGTTCTGGGAGTTTGTAAATAGTATGTGTTTCTACACATTAACCATGCATGGTGTGACATATAGTGCACTCACCATACATGCTCTTTTGAGCTGTAAAAGAATCACAAGTATGGATTTGTAATTTTACCATGTGGTGAGTTAAGGCAAGTGTTAAGCTGTTTGTTGTTCTTGCAGCTAAGCCAATCTGATGCTAACAGACAGAATGGCAGTCCTATGTGTTTGTGCTCAGGGTTTATATCTTGTGTTTCTGCCTGTTTATACCTACAGTGACACGGGAGAAAGAGGTGGACCTGGAGAAGCGCCAAACACAGCGGTCTGTGTTTCTCTGCAAGGTGATTGGACCACGGGGGACGGGCAAGACAGCCTTTCTCCGGGGCTTTGTTGGCCGGAGCGTTGTGGTACGGCACCATCTGCTAGTCTGAAACTAAAAATGTCAAATGTCACAGTTAAAATTATAAGCTTATGCTAGTTTCCATAATCAATACTGATGATGCTGAAGTTGTGTGACGTGTGCTTTTTCCTGTCATGTACAGAGTAAGGGGAATTCCAGCAGTGCCTTCTCCCCCTATGCCATAAACACTGTCCAAGTCAGCAACCAGGAAAAATATTTGATTGTAAGTAGCTCCCATCCTGATCTTGCTGCTGACCCTTAACCTCTGACCTCAACTAATGTCTGACCACCACACTTTTTCCCATGCAGCTAAATGAGGTAGATGTGGAGACAGAGTTCCTGAAGGCATCAGACGCCTCCTGTGATGTCGCTTGTCTCATGTACGACACCAGCGACCCACATTCCTTCAACTATTGTGCCAGTATTTACAAGGTCAGTAGTAAGTTAGAGGAGCATTTAAAGGATATCATTTATGTTTTAGTTTGTGCTGTTTGCATAGGTTTCCAATCTGCTGTACACTCTTTGTGCTGGTGTTAGCACACAGTTAGCTTCTTAGTTAATAATGCAGTATTACAGTTCACTTGATACCACTTGTTTTTAAAGATGAAACCATGAAGGAGAGACAGTGTTGTAGATTTGACCTGTACTCTTTCCAGACTAAAGATCTTTTGAAAATGAAAATGAATCAGGGTTGTTTACATGCCAGTTTTCTTCTGTCAAATAATTATAAAAGCATTAAACCACCTATTCCAAAGGAATCCTAAATTTCCTAGGACCTCTATGAAAATAAAGTAAATATTCTTTGTGTTCTGCATCCCATATTTTACTTAGCAACACTACATGGAGAGCAACATCCCTTGTGTGCTAGTTGCCTCCAAGGTAGACCTTCCTGAAGTCAAACAGTTCCACGGGATGCCCCCAGCAGAATTCTGTTATAAACACAGACTTCCTCCACCGCTGCCCTTCTCCAGCCTGTTCCTCGACACCACCAGCAAGAACATCTACACCAGGCTCGCCTGGGCAGCAGTGTACCCGTAAGTTCTAGTCAGACAAACATAAACATCAGTCATACAGGGTATTGTTTAGTTTTAAAACATTGTACAATTAAAAAGTGGCAGAAAAGGATGTAGAAATGTAAAGGTCTCTGTACATTATTTGGTGTTGCTGATCCTCAGTCTTTTCCTGGTTTTGGTTTTTTCTCCCCTCTACTTCCAGACACCTGAATGGATCAGACATGAGTAACACATCCTTCTGGCTGAGGGTGGCGTTGGGTTCGGCTGTGGTTGCAGTTCTGGGCTTTGCCATCTACAGAGCTGTTGCCAGACTGAAATGACCAACAACCACCTGAACTTTTATTTGTTTTTGGGTTTTTTTCTCAACTTGATATTCCTTCCATCCATCATCAGGACCAGACCTCCAAAACCAGATCCAGAGCCACAGCTGTCTGCATCATTTTTTTCACTTTCTCATAAACTTCAGGTCAATAGATGGCAATAATCCAAAGGCAGTCGGAAGCTAGCAACTGTACTATTCTTTGTGCCCAGCTTTTTCTGCCTTACATCATCTAACCGGGCTAAGTAGGAGTTAGCCTGTCTGCACTTGGTACATTGATACACAAAGAATTACTACTGTTAATGTACATAAAGGTGCTCGATCAAAACAGAGGAAAGGTAGGTAGTAGTGTCAAGTCCACTGCTTTCCCCTCAATTATTTGAGTGTTAATGATGAGTCTGGAGAGTTTTTAAATACATGCAGTGTTTTCTAAATGTAATAGAAAGATGCCAAATTGACTAGGCTGAAGAACCAAAGGGCAGCACACAAAGTATTTTTAACATGGAGGAGATCCTGACCGGCTGCTTCAGTACCCCTCAGTAAACAACACTTCGCTATTTGATCAAGCCACCACAGATACAAGGTGTTCATATCTGACTGCCAAATAACTCCAGCAGCAGTGAGTAGTCAGAGCATGCTCTTTAACACATAGGCAATACTATTTTGCCTGAGAATGAAACATTTAAATTAGCTTGAATCTTATCTGTAACATGTTTTAGCAGTAAGACTGCTGAACTGCTGTGGCAGGGGGAGATTTCTCTTTATGCATGAAGGGAAGTTGCTTTAATGTGGAAGGATGACAGTTTCTATATGCATCTGCAAGAAAGCAAATATTTTCTCCTGCAGCACGAGGCCAGGCGACGCTTAAAAACTACAAAATGTTAAAAACATTTGCTCAGATTTATCCCTGCTTTCATTCAGACTCAGTTTCTGTTCTCTAAAATCAAATTAATTTTAATTGATACTGAAATAATTTGTTCACTCATACCTGCGACCATACATATTGTGGTCATTTTGTTATTCTCCATCATGAGCCAGCTTTGGTAATGTCTACTTTGTTGCTTAATATAGCTGGGGCCCTGCTCTTTCTGCAGGGCACACAAAATGTGGCTGTTTCCTACTGAAAGTGAACTGATTTAGATGCTTAATAAAAGACCAGAACAGACTTTTGCCCAAAAGACTAATGCTGTGGATGTTGGGATGGAAGGTATTGTATGTTGTGAATGTTCTACTTTATGTTGATATGTCTGACAGTTGGGGATAGATTATTATTTTGTTTTCTTTGTGACTGAGTTTAGTTTTTACCTTCGAGGATTTATAAATAAGTACAAGACTTCAGAGACACTGTTTACTGTGGTATTTTTATTAAGGAGCCATGAACCGTCTCCAGTGTTAGTTTCATCCTGTAGACTATGCATTTGAAGTTTATTAATTATAATTTAAGATGCACCTTATTCACAAAATTATTATTGCTAATAATAATTTGTTCTAAATGTAGTATTCTGCCTTTCTGTTAACAATTCATGTCTGTGATCCTTGTGTGTCTCAAAATGCAAGAACATGCCTTGGCAAGTGTGGATGCTTCTCTTTGGTCATTCAGCCTGAAGCTGCTAAACAAGGTAAATTTGATCATCTTACATCTGTCTTTAGATATAATAGTATGTAGAGGGTGATATGTATGTAATGTTTACTTTCATCAGCGTTAATCACTCTGTGCTGTTTGTGTCTCAGTAGCCTTTTGCAACAAGACACCAGCAGATGGCAGTGTTGCACGTCAGCTGAGAGAAGGAACAAGGTACCTCCTGTTCTGGAGCCAGTCCGAGAGAATTGCATGTTGGGATTTTGAGTGTAGTTTCATGTGGTCGAAAATCTGAAACAAATCTGATTAGTTACTGTGTCGTACATTACGGTTTTGACACGTTTAACCATTTTGCCAGCGATTCATTTCCCAGCGATAAATCTCTCAGACATACCCGTGTCGTGGGAACGTTGTTTCTCTGCACTTGTTTCCCAAAAGTAATTTTAAAACTTGTTGTTCATAACATAAGCAGTTTTTAGGTAATTCAGAGTGCGTGATTTATAGTTGTGTGTGTATATATACACTGACTGTGATTGCTGTAGAATGTCCTGAGGAGCATTTAAATGCTTGCTTACTTAAAAAGTCCCAAAATACCGCTCACTTTCTTTATTCTTGATCTTTGACCCATCACTGAATATCGTCCCTGTTTTTGGAGTCATTTCCAAAGGTGGGCTTTGTCTACAGTGTCTGATAGCAGTCCGTCGAGGGGAATAGGTGTGGGCTATACGAGAGATGGAGGAGACAGCTAAACAACTTGTGATTCGGTCTGATTATCATTGATATGCTAGGTAATTCCTCCGTCTGCTTTACTCGTGCCTACTACCTTACTCACACGCAAAGTGCGCTCAATAAGTTGACCATACCTTTTTGTAGAAGATGACAAAGGTTTATTGAGTTGCAGTATAAACAGTCATTAAAAGTGACTAAACACAGTGTGACGTTTGTATATTATGAATCTTCTGACCATGAGATAATATACAGATTGGAGCTTGAATGACAACTACAGAGCCTTTGGGAACATCTTGCTGCATCTACTATGTTCTGTACATTGTCAAGACTCAACAATGCTCATCGTTGGAACATTTGTGTTTTCAGTATAACGTGTGCACCAACAATGACTATTCATTAGTTCAACACTATATACATTGTTTTCTTTTCAGCAAGACCCTAGACTAGCTCGAATGTATCCAAGGACCAGACAGAAATTAACAGTATTATTAACGCCAAATAAAAGTGGACACAAGTATATCTTCTGCAGGTTTAGGTTGCAGTTCGGTTGAGAGAAGACTGCTAGTAAAAACAGCATAAGTTTGCATGAGACCTTACAAAAATAATACATATACGAAAACATTTTCTGAAATATTTACAGTGACTTTTTGAAATTGTCCTTTTACTTCTTTTTAGCTGCTTTGGCTGCTTTTTTCGGTGCCTTTGCCTTGGGCTTGGCTGCCTTCTTTACTGGTTTTGCCTTCGGCTTGGCTGCCTTGGGTTTCTTCACTGGCGCCTTTTTGGCTTTCGTTGGTGTCGCCTTTTTCGCGACCTTTTTCACTTTCTTTGCAGCGACCTTCTTGGGTTTCTCCGGTGTCTTGGACACCTTCTTGGGCTTGGCCGCCTTCTTGGGTTTGGCGGGCTTCGCTGCCTTCTTTGGCTTGGGAGCTGGCGCTGGTTTGACTGACTTTTTGGAGTCCTCAGGTTTGGTCAGCCTGAAGGATCCTGACGCGCCGATGCCTTTGGTGTGGCGCAGCATCCCCGATGCCACCAGCCTCTTCAGGGCCATTTTAATCTGCACATCGGCATTGTCGCCCACCTTGTAGTTCTTCCTCACGTACTTCTGGATGGACTGACGGGACGCTCCACTCCGGCTGGCGTCGTGAACTATGGCCGCTTTAATCATCTCCGAGTACTTGGGATGTGAAGCGGGTTTCTTGGGTTTGGATGCCTTTTTGGCTTTGCTTGGAGCCGCCGACGTCTCTGCCATGGTGACTTAGTTTTGAGTAAGTTAACTGGAAAAGTCTTGGAGGTGTAATTTCACCCGGTTCAGCTGGTACACCGGAGCGTCGGAAATGGCAAAATATATGAAGCGCTGGAGAAAAAGCGTTTCCCGAGAAAGTCCGAGTTGGCAGACAACGTCACACTTTCAGCTTTGAGAGATAAAAATATTGTATATATCCACACAAAGTGACGCGTCTATACTCTGGATCACTTTACTGTCTTATTCCACAGGCGCTCCAGTGAGCCTATGAAGCCTATCTGCGGACGTGATTGAGAACACCAACTGCCAGCAGCTGATCTAGCGGACTCCATGGAACTGGCGCCGTCCCGTTTGTGTTTCTTCATCCTCCTACTCCTGACAAATATAAATACCACGGCGGAGTACTGATCCACAGAACATTATGGGCTGATAGCAGAGACATTGGGCTTCCCGGGAACACACTTGTTCTCCTCGGTCCGCGCCGGCGAACAACTTTTATTCCAGGAAAACCCGCTAGAAGTAATGCGTGCTGTGAACAATTTTGCACAATTCGTGTTAAATTGACCCAAACAGACGGAACCGGGGGTAAAATCATTCAATGCATAACGAAATTTAATCTATACTTAAACGGATGCACGCGGCTTGGTCGGTGCAGGATTCTGTTTTTGCTTTTAATACATCGATACATTTTCCCAACTAACACAGTCCGGCCATTGACTTTGAGTGACGTGGTAGAGATTATTTACTGTTAAACCTCCTATAAATTAAATGTGTCAGTATCTAAGTTACAGGTGACACTTGGGACGATATTATGGGCTTATATAGGTTGAAATTCGATGGGTGGGTCCGCCGTGTTTGCTGGTTTTTGGGCAGAATTGGTTATAACTGTCACTATGGCAGTCTCCACTCGAGCTTCATTGTCAGGAAAGTTGCCAACACATCCTAAGATCAGGAATTCAGTTACCGGGTTCTAAAATTGATCCCTATATTTTGGGCAGAGGCGTAAGTGGTTACTCTGTGACCAGGTGTGAGTCCAGCTGCAGAGGGGGGCTGCGCTCGGAACCAAAGTCCTTCAGTATAGGGCGCAGTGACGGCTTTCTTTTGTTCAGGAACTGGCGCATCAGACCACAGTCAATGACAGGTTGGACACTGGGCTTTCCTCAGTTATATAACTGTCGGTGGTGCCAGTCCAAAGCAGGAAAAACCTCTCAGATAAGGAACTTTACAGTTATTCAGTTTTATTTGTAGTATTTTAATATCAGGTCTGATGTCCCTCCCTGCAACGCCATTTTGATTCTTATATGAAAGTCACAAACACTAGAGTAGTGCTTTCCCCCGACTTTTCTGGCATATTTATCCGACTTATTTTACACTGTTTTTGGATAATAACATATTTACACTAATTTACATCAGACACAGTGGTAGCCTACAAAATAACCTCGGACAACCAGGCAGCCTGTCAGAGAGCTGGTCCTGCCTGTTCTGAAGCAATGAAGTGTCTCCTCTTGTTCAGATGACATTATGTCAGATTATTATGCATCACCTGTCTGTTTCCTATATTGTAGCCGAAAAATAATCTAGCCTAAAAATGTTAAATTGAGTTACATTTAGTGAGGAAAATGAGTGTCTACCCATGTGTCCACCTGTGTCCTTACAGTGAGTTGATGACTGTGTGAGTGTGTGTGTTTAACAAGAGGGTGGGCGAGGGACTGAATGAGTGAAAACGAAGGGAGGGTGAAGGAGTGAGTGAATGGGTTTTTTTTTTCATGTGTGAC